GCAGGAAATGACCCTAGAGAGCTTCTAGATCTAGAATTCTACTTAGTTCTTACTGTGTACAGGAAAATCTATGAGTGAAGGTGAAAAGAGAAGAAACAAAAAATAGTTTTTGTTTACATTTATATTAAAAATATTTAGTTCATATGAATGGGCCAAAGACATTTATAAAATTAAGTGAAAATTAAAATACAACTTTCCTTCAGTTTTTTAACATTTTAAGTATTTTATTTCTTTCTTATCTGTTACAGATTCTGTTGTTTCAAAGTTACTGAGTACATATGAAGACCTAGAGAAATTTTGGCACATTTTAGAAGACTTTGCTATGGACTCTTTGATCTAACTCTGCTTTCCTAACTAGCAAAATTCTCCTTAGGTCACCAGATCCGTCGGATTAACTTCTGCAAGTGCCTAGCATTAGGGTCTTTTTATAGCTCCTTAGACCTCTAGACATAGTGTAGTGTCATGAAGACAAAGACAGTTATTACTTTCATTTTCTAGTAAAAAATGGCAGATGAAACAGTTGTGACTAATAGTCAAAATATTAATCTTTCTTGCCTCAGGCTTTTAGGTTTTGAAACTCAGACCAAGTGGAAAACTAGATCCTTTTTTTTTTTTATTTTGGCCTCAGCCATTAGACACTAGACTGTTAGTATTTTACTTCTCTGTTGGAATTGGAAAATAATTAAAGACTGTATAGTTTCATAGAAGGCAAGCCTTCTGAGGACAGGGTTTTTGTCACAGCAGCTTTGCCCTGTCAGTCTGTCTGTGTCATGCAGGAGTAGGTTGGTTAGCAATTACAAACTGCTGAAGACCATTCGGAACAGCTCTTCATGTGATTTTGCCAGAAATAACTCACTGCATGATGGGGAGGGCGGATACATTTCTATCTCATTCCTTTTAAATCATTCAACCTGTTACTTTTTAGAAAATACCTGAAAGTATGACACTAAGTATGTCTTTCTTATGCATGTAGAGACATTAAAGAACATGGAATTTCTGCTACATGGGGCTGTCATAAGTGAACATTCCAGAGGAAGCTGAATGCCTATGTCTTCTCCTCACACTCATTCCCTTCACCACATCTTTGACAAGTAGCCCACTATTTTCTGAAGAGTACCAGTGATGAAGTGTTCATCTCCTGGCATGGCTGGTTACGTCACTGTGGGATTGCCCTAAACATTACCCATCCCCTATAACCCCCTTTACTTAGAACCAAAATCTCTCTCTCCATCTCTAATTTCTGGTTGTTTAGCTTCCTCCTTCCTTGGAATCAACAAAGAAGTTTACACCCTTTTGACTCTGAGACCACACTTTAAAAGCAGCTATGATATTTCTTCTTAGACTTCTCCAAGCTGACGCTCATTCGGTGAATAATGAACTAGAATTTAAACCCTGTCTCCCCATCTGCTAGATTCCAATCGAGTACGTTCTTTCTGCAACAGGAACTATTTATCCAGCCACTAACCCATCCAACAACAATTTGTTGCTTGTATCAGGCACTAGGAATACAAATGAGAATTGGATTTCCTCTAAGTAGCTCAATCTGGTGGAACAGAATAGACACAATTACAAATAATATTAAAACGGTATGGTAGCTGATACTGAGTCCCACCTTCTCAACTTATGAACTGTCCAAATTTTTGAGAGTGGGAGAGCACATGCAAATTCTGTAGAGCAGTCCTTGGCACATAAAATGTACTCAATAAATAATAGCTTTCATTCTGTATGCACAAGATGCTGTGGGGTCAGAGAGGAGAGACACCTAGTCCTAGCTGGAGACGGGACAGGAAATAGAGGAAAGCAGGGGATATAGGAAACCTAGAAAATACTTTTTTAGGGGCAGCTACATCAAGGTTAAGTCATGAAGTAATATTGGGAATGGATAAGATGAAGGAGATGAAGGGGGTAAAGAAGAGAAGCATTCTAGGCAGAGGAACCAAAATGAGCAAGGGTAGGGAGATGAGAATTTGCACTGAATCTGCAAAAAATATCAGGAGTAGAGGTGGATAAATAGAAAGTTGGGCAAGGCCTAGATTGTGAAAAGTGTTCTACTTTATTGTAGGATTTTACTTTTTAAAAGATTTTAGTTATTTGAGAGAGCACACGTGCGTGCAAGCACGAGTTGGGAGGAGGGGTAGAGGGAGAAGCAGACTCCCCGCTGAGCGGGGAGCCCTATGCAGGGGCTTCATCCCGGGATCATGACCTGAGCCAAAAGCAGACACTTAACTGACTGAGCCACCCAGGCGCCCCATATATTGTAGGGTTTTAAATCATTCCTTTACTTGGGATGTGGTTGTGAGGGTAGAGGTCATTGAACAGTTTTAGGGAATTGGTCAGATTTCTTCTGGATGACTTTTATTTTAATTTTTTTGTTTATTGCTGAAGTATAGGTGACATACAGTGTTATAGTAGTTTCAGGTGTATGATATAGTGATTCAACAATTCTATACATTACTCAGGGTTCATCATGATAACTGTAGTTACTGTCACCACACGATGTTATATTATTGACTGTATTCCCTATGCTGTACCTTATATCCCCATGTCTTATTTATTTTATAACTGGAAGATTGTACCTTTTAATGCCCTTCACCTATTTCACCTGTCGCCCCACCCACCTTTCCCCTGGCCACCATCATCAGTTTGTTCTCTGAGTTTAAGAGTCTGTTTTTGTTCATTTGTTCATTTGGATTTTTAATTCCACATATAAGTAAAATCATATGGTATTTGTCTTTCTCTGTATTATTTCACTTGGCATAATACCATCTAGGTCCAACATGTTGTCACAAATGGTAAGATTTCATTCCTTTTATGGCCAAGTAATATTTCACTGTGTGTGTACATGCGCGCGCATGCGCACACACACACACACACACACCAACTTTTTTATCCATTCTTTTGAAGTTATGAGAAGGAGCATGGATCTGTGTAAGACTGGTGGCGGGGTCAAGTTAAGAGGCTTTTATGGTAGCCCTGTGAAGAACAGTGAAGGCATTTGTACCAGCATAAAACAGGAATGGAGGACAGGCAGATTTCAGAAGCATTTAGGAGGTAAACAAACAGGATGTTGGGCTAAGGAGAGGAAGTCGATAACTCTCCTGCTTTGGTATCAGATCATGGTACCACCAACAGGAGAAGAAATAAGGGAGGTAGCACGTCTAGAGAAGGCTGTGATGAGTTCTATTTGAAAATATTGATCTGTATGGAAGTTTAAGATATGAGTCTGAAGATGCAAGGTACTGGACGAGGGTTGTGGATTGGCCAGTCATGAGCTTGTGAGAGCCTGCTCTGGAAGAGTGAGGGTGCTGGGGAACATGGGCAGAGAGAACCCCGCATGTGTCTAACTGGTCTTAAATCTTACTAGGCCTAATTGTCCTTTACATTTGATGGGAAGAATAGGTGCTAACAGTACAGCCCTCCTGTTATGCTCCTGCTTAGACAAGCTAATAACCTGGAGGGAAAAGAAAACCATGTTTTAATAAGAGAAAGAAAATATTTTATTTTTTATTTTTTAAAAGATTTTATTTATTTATTTGACAGAGAGAGATATAGAGAGAGACAGAGAGCAC